GAGATTTTTATCAATACGATCAAAAGTTTGAAGCATTGAATTTTGAAGTGTTCACCGTTGAAACAGCGGTCGAAATTGATTGAGTTTGATTGTTAATAGGGTTTGTTGATGTTGATAAATCTATGGAACTTACTGGTGGTTCAGGTGAGACGGGAGGAGCTGGAAGAACGTGTGCTCTGGATGAGACAGGTGGAGCTGGCAGAACGTGTGCTTTGATTGCGTCGTTGGTAGTTAGAATGTATGTTGCTGTATGCTGTGCCGAAGAAAAAGGAAGATTTTTATCAATACGACGTGAAGTGATTCTAGTGTTGTCCGTCGAACATTTTCGAACACTTGTTGGACTGTTCAACATGGTTTTTAAAAAATCGTTTTGTTCGAAAATGTTTTGTTCGTTGTCCAACAACATTAAATTTTATATGGATCGAACAACAAACAAATAATTATTTTCGAACATACGAACGTTCTCAGCCAGCACTAAGTGATTCCTATATATATAATCAATTCAATCAATTTCAAATTGATTGAAAATCTGCTTCGAAGCGATCAAGAGTTTGAAGCAGTGAATTTTGAGTGGGGAACAGCAGTCGAAATCGATTGCATGTGATTGTTATATTAAGTTGGTTGATGTTGACAAATCTATGGGGCTTACTGGTCTGGTTTCAGGTGAGACGGGAGGAGCTCCTGTCCGCGTTCTTGTATTGCCTCCTGTATGCTGTTGCAAAGAAGAAGAAGTTATAATTTGGTTTCGTTGAAAACGTTCAAACAATTTTTTTTACGGAAATAAATTAATATAGTTTTATTGAGGCGATGAAATGGAAGGGCAAAATGAACATGATTTAACGATCAAAACATACCTTCGCTTCATTCCCCTTTGCTCCATTTGTACCGCTGGCATCGTGTACAAGAAACACCTAATAGAGAACAAATATTTAATAACATTTCTGTTCCAAAGTTCAACTTTTCCACCAATTAAGTTTAAAATTAAGACTTACAAGACCAACAATCAAAAGAATTCCTGTAGCATGGTATAAACCCATTCCATGCTTCATTTATAATATTATTTGATCCAACTGCGACGAATTCTAGAGTTCAACTATCCACTTTGAACACGTCGCTATTATTGAATGAAGCGATGGATAATGCGACCAGATGTTATTTCAAACGAATTGAGCTATCGTATGATTCTAATTGCGACAACCTTCTATTGATTATTTTATGAATTCATTATAAAGAAGAAAATTTTCAAACAAAAGCTTTAGAAAACTCGCTACAAAATTGGTTTTCTTTGCAAAATAAAAATGAACCTTTTGTATGAAATGACACTGGTCATATCAACTCTATTTATAGGACTCAGAAGAAAAAAAAATCCGGTTAACACATATATAATATATATGTGTGTGCAATATATTGTATTCAATATATGATATATTGAATACATGACATGTATTACTCGTCAAATATATTGAGAGAAAACGAAAACAATTGAATAAATATTATGCGGATAAATTCCATTCGTTAATTTATACACAGAGAGAACTATCTAAAATATTTGAAACCAACTCTTATACACCACTCTCTGAGTTCCATCACATGGAATGATACGTGTGACGGCATATTTTCACACGGAACTTCGTTCCCAGTGCGCCGAGCACTAGCTACATGTAATAACATGTGGTTTCAAATATTCGGATACGTTCGCTCTATATATAGCAAGTGCTCGATGCACTGGGAACGAAGTTCCGTGTGAAAATATGCCGTCACACGTATCATTCCATGTGATGGAACTCAGAGAGCAGTGTAACTATTTTAAACCCAATGGGAAATGCTTGTTTTTTCTAAATTACAAATATTATTTGCTTAAGCAAACCATATTTGGTTTATGACTAAAGGAATGACATGAATTTGTGTACGTTAAATTTAAAAATTTCAAATCGTATTGTTTATCCTGATGAATCATCCAATGAATGTGACATTTCAATTCCGTCCGAATTATCTATTTCTGTGTTTTCGAATTTCGAATATTCAAATTGTACCAACTCGTTCTGATTGGAATGAAAACTACTTCAATTTCGAGTTGAAATTAATAAAATTTGAAATTTTTTCATCAAATTTTCATAGAAAAAATATAAAAATAACAAAAATGATTTAAAAAAAATATTTGTCACACAAAAAATCCACAAAACTATTCAAAACCATAGAAATCCAAATTCCAGTGCAATCATCGATTCTACCAATAGGGACACGCATGCCACTTTGACACTTCGAATGTGCGGGAATATTTTTTGTTTGGTTGTGTGAACTGTCAAACGATTGAAAACTGCGATTCAAATGTGAAGAAATTTAGAACGCACGCATACAATCATCGTGCAACGGTCCGAAAACAAGAAAAATACCAATCAATTGTGGAATAATTCTTTGATAACAGTGAATTAGTCACGGATTTTGGTGATTGTTTAAAGAATTTTTCATTTTTTTCTGTTGTGGAACGTAAAAAAAACATATAAAAATGCCAAACGAAATGATAACACTGCAGCTGGGCCAGTGCGGCAATCAAAGTAAGCACCAATTTTACCACGGACAGTAATTTGTTGTCAGAATTTAATGTGATTTTTTTGTTGATTTACAGTCGGTTTTGAGTTTTGGAAGCGATTGTGTCTGGAGCATGGCATTTCACCGAATGGTACGCTCGAGGAGTTTGCAACAGATGGTGGCTTGGACCGAAAGGATGTATTTTTCTATCAGGCCGATGACGACCATTACATTCCACGATCAGTGTTACTCGATTTGGAACCGCGTGTCATTCACTCCATCATGAGTTCGCCGTATGCTAAAGTGAGTGTTTTTTTTCGTTTTTTGTTTTTTTTTTTTTGAAAGAGAAAAACGTAAATTTTGGTTTTTTCTACTAAAAATTGACATTTAGAAGTGTTCATATGCATTTTCTATCAAATATTGATACCAAATTCGACTTTTCGACCGGAATTTATACAAAATTTCACTTTCTATCGCAGTTGTACAATCCAGAGAACATTTACTTATCGAAAGATGGTGGTGGTGCCGGCAACAATTGGGCATCGGGTTTCAGTCAAGGCGAAAAATTACAAGAAGAAGTGTTTGACATCATCGATCGTGAGGCGGATGGCAGTGACAGTTTGGAGGGATTTGTTCTGTGTCATTCGATTGCTGGCGGCACTGGCTCAGGCATGGGATCCTATATCATGGAACGGCTGTCCGATCGATTTCCCAAGAAATTGATTCAAACATACAGTGTGTTCCCGAATCAAGATGAAATCAGGTAAACAAATGTGTGCAATTCGATGAATTCCGTGTTTTCAATGAATTTTTTTTTTTTGGCAGTGATGTCGTTGTTCAACCGTACAATTCACTTTTGACTCTGCGACGATTGACCAGCTGCGCTGACTGTGTCGTTGTTTTGGATAACACAGCACTCAATCGCATCGCCACCGACCGACTTCACATTGAGGTAAGGGCGCTTGTTCATGAATGAAAAAAAAAACTTCTGCGGAAAAATTAAACGACGATTTAGAGACAAAAACAAGCATGTGTGACAAAAGATCTCATTGTATCTTCTTTGGTTTATATAGACTTGGGCATTACAATTGGTTCCGTTTGACTCTTTGAACGCATTTTTTGTCTCTTCCAAACATTTTCTTATTTGACTGTTTTGTTGTTGGTATCGCTAATTGAAATTTTTTTCATTTAATTTCAGAACCCGAGCTTCACACAAATCAACACGCTGGTATCGACCATCATGTCAGTGAGCACAACAACACTGCGGTATCCGTCGTATATGAATAACAATTTGATTGGATTGACAGCACCATTGATTCCAACGCCACAATTGCATTTCCTGATGACGGGATACACTCCACTCACCACCGACAGCGATGTAAATGTCTAACTCTTCAAATTTTCATTCATTTTTCATATTTTTTTCTCCTCCGAAGATTCAATTCAGACCATTTTTATCTTCTTTTTCCAATTTCATTATCGGGTTTATCAACTATTAATAACAACTATGCTTTTTTTCACCACAGCAAACGGTGAATATTCGTAAAACAACCGTTTTGGACGTGATGAGACGATTGCTGCAGCCAAAGAACATGATGGTCTCAACTGGATTGGACAAAACCAACCACCATTGCTATATTTCCATTTTGAATATCATTCAGGTGAGCAGACTTTTGGCCAATCATTTTTCTTTCGATGAAAATTGTGATTTTTTCCATATATAAATGATTCAAAGAAGAAAAACCAATTTTAAAAGTAAACGAAACGATAATTGTTCAAAATGTTCAGGGTGAGGTCGATCCAACACAGGTGCACAAGTCATTACAGCGTATTCGAGAGCGTAAATTGGCACAATTCATCCCATGGGGCCCAACGAGCATTCAAGTTGCACTGTCACGAAGCAGCCCATATGTACAGAGTAGCCATCGAGTTTCAGGGCTTATGCTTGCCAATCACACCAGCATTTGTTCGGTACACACTACTTTATTTTAGTTTATTTCATTTTCGTTTTAATTTTTCAATATTAAAATGATTCATTTTTTTTTTTAATTTTCATTTTCAGCTATTCGAGCGTGTTCTGAACCAATATGACAAACTGCGTAAGCGAGGTGCTTTCTTGGATCAGTTCAAACGTGAGGATATGTTCAAAGATGATCTGTCGGAGTTGGATGAATCTCGTGAGGTGGTCGACAATCTTGTCCAAGAATACGAAGCGGCCACACAGCCCAATTATCTCAGTTGGCAAGGTAAATTCGTTATTCCCATTCTGAAAAAATCCATTGAACCACCTTGAAGCGATAGTTTCATACGGAATATGGTGCCATCACTTCGAAACTTTACCAATTTTTTTCTCCCACAAGCTCATTCAAAGCTAAAAAAAAAACACTTCTTCAAAATCTAATGAAAATGTTTCTCTATTTTCAGCTCAAAAGCCAGCCGCCTAAGCACAAATACTATTTTAAAAGAAATACTCAACGCATGCCAAGTACTAATGCCAAGTCACGCGCAAAAATTCCCACTGTTCATCAATTCCAATTTAGTCAAGGCTCTTGTTTTTTTTTAAATCGTTTCGCACATTTGGCGATTTGCACCAACAAACAAATATGTTCGACGTAAATGTTAGCCTTAAGAAAGCATGTTCAGTGCACAAGTTGCCAATTAAAATAGAAAAAAAGAATGTTTTGGCACAAAAGCCACTAAAATAAAACACACACACAACACATTTTGAGTCTCAAATAATCCACGCATTTATTTTCGTTGAAATTATTGGTAATTTTTTTTTACAAGAGCTAAGATGCTTGTTTAATATTTATTACAAGAAACGTCGTTAAATTGAAATAAAGGTTCATCGTTTTATAAGTAAATTTTGTTCCAGAATTGAGAAATTGAGTGAAAAAAGTGTCTAATATCGATATTTGGTGGAGTAATCCTTTGGACTGACCACTAAACCACGACCTTTGCGAGCACCACGGTACACTGTCTCAACGATGTCGACCATTTCTTGTTTGTCTTCCAACGGCCAATTGATTTTGTTGTTGTTACCCGTTCCCAAATCGATCATTATGTGCTTGTTACGGAAGAAAAACATCACCGTGCATGGATCGTACAATTCGTACCTGCGAAAAAGAGTGTGGAAAAAGAGAATTTTTCAGTAAACAAGTGTTATTTGTTTTTTAAATCATTTTTGGGTTCACTAAGTCGTATGTTTGTAAAAAAAAACTAACAATTTTTGAGAAAAAATCAAAAATCAATGGAAAAAAGATCAAATTTTCAATAAATTTTGATGTTTCTTGCAGCAGATGGTACAGTTTTAGGTGATAATGACTTTGAATTCATCAGAATTGACGACCATTCATTAAAAATCACGTCCATCGATTGATAATGACCATAATCTACTAAAACTTGTCACAACTGTAGATTATTTCCATAGACATTTCCATATGAATCGCTCCAAAAATGCTTCTCATTTATAATTTTTCCAATAAAAACTTACATTTTATTGAAGTCCGATACTTGGGTGATGTCGACTAAGTAAAAGACAGCGAAATTTTTCACTTTCTCTGCAATACTGTACAACACCTCGTCCATTTTCATACAAGCTGGGTCCCAGTCATGACCAAATCGAATCACCTATTCAAAATCACAACAAAAATTTCAATTAAATTCACTCAAACTGTAAAAATACATCAAAAATGTCCAAAAACTTATAAATCATCGATAGATCAAACCAAATCTTTGACTTCAATCGTGATTTATTACATAAACTGATTCAATTTCTTACCACAACACGGTCCTCTTCGGATAAAATTGCTTGGTCGACTTGATAGCCATTGTGTAAATGTTGTAGCATGTAAGACATCTTCGGTCGAATTGCGTTTTTTTACTGTCTCTACTTCAGAATGATCAATGGCAATAAAAATATCGCAACAAAAGAGATTTTATTCAATGTTCACACGGACAAATAAACAATTTTCCACAGCTGGCAGAACAAAACGTTTATAAAAGTAGCAATAGTGTCAGTATACAAAACAAAGTGAATGAAAAAAATAGAAACGTCAAAAAAAATCCTATCGAAGCGAAATGTCCCATTTCTGGAAATTTCCTCACACACAGCGATATTCCAATGGGTTTTGTTGTTCACTTCACACAAATTCATATTTGCCAGTTCTACGATAGGGAAAATTGGTGATTTGAATGTTTATTATAGGTTTTTTTTTTAAATTCAAACAATGAAAATGAAATTAAGTTTCAAGAAATGAATTTCAATATGAGAAAAATGCGAGAGAAAATGGTTTAAGTAAATATTTGGAACAAATGATTTGAACAATTGACATGTGACTTCATAAAGTACGGATTGCATATCATACTACTTATTGAGAGTCGATATGACTCAAAAGATCCGCGCAGAAAAATGACTCCCATCGAAAAAAGAATTGGCCCATTCAGTGCATGCGAACGACGGTGTTGATTAAAATGATTTACTATTTCAAAGGATTAAAGTCCATTTTCAGATAATTATGTTCGAATCGGCGAAAAAAAGTCATTGGATACAACATTTTTGCTCCTTTTTCTTTTTAGTTTATTTGCACTTGAGTATTTGTTGTGTTATTTAATGCATTTTTTCTTTCTAATTTACCAAATTTGTTCTTTGTTTTCGAAAATTGCGAGGAGAAAACCACTCAAGTGATCATAAGTGGTCAGAAAGGCTCTTAAATCTATTTTATTCTCCATTCCGTCAGTAAATAATTTTAAATAAATAAGAATAAAGAATTTTTTTAATAGTAGCACAGAACGAATTTAAGTTCAAAAAAAGTATCTCTTTCCTTCTTCGCCATATCAATCGAGAAAATGAATCCATTTTTATTCTTTCTCCATTCCATCTCGATTCCTCTCAATACTTTGAAAATTTCAAATGCAATGTGTTCACCATTCCGTGTGAAATTGTTCGTTTGTCTTTGCCAATGTTAGTTGGTTTATCAACAATGTTATTTTGATAGAATTTGATAATAAGTGACCGCCACAGACACCTTTTAATGCGAATTTCTTTAATGTTCACTTTTCAGATTTTCATTGTATATAAAAATGTGTGAGGGCATTGCCAATCGAATTTCCTACATTGATCCTGGTTGGAAGTGAATTTCTGGTGAAACTTTGATTCTAGCTTCTTGCGTTAAAATGAGTGATTCTCGTCCAACATAAACCAATGCTTTATCTCGCATGTCCGACAGATTTTTTTCGACAATTTTTATCTTCACCGGCACATCGTCGATTGGAACTTCATCGAAATGAAGATTTGCGAAACATCAAATTGGTTTTGCCAAGCGGGATAGTTGATTGAAAAGGCTGTATGATCGACTGGCAACACGGCATAACCGGGTGATGTGCAGTCAAGTATTACGCGATCCGCTACAGCCGTTCGTTTTGTTGAAATTTTTTTTGAACCGTAAAATTGATAAAATAAAGTGGCATCGATTAAAAGCATCGATAGTCTTTGGATTATCAGTGAGTTCAAAGGGCCAAATTCGTGTGGCGGCTGTTGAACGTCAAAGTCATTTGAGGCGACGCGAGCGCCCCCCCAATTTCAAAGGGCACATCAATGTAATTTAACATTTCAAATCGGATCTAAACAGCGCGCCAATTCGAAATATAGGAAAATATAGTGTCAACAGCCGCACCATGGCCAAATTGTAGCAAATTCAATTGATTGCGATATTCATAGCGCAATATTGTTTATTCGAACCAGTCAACTTGAATCGATTGCACCATTATTGCGAAATATTCAAACATACATATATCAAGATGAGTCATGATAATGAAACCCCATCGATTTCACTTCAGGATAATGACAATTTTGCCGATACATTCGGCCGATTTTGAACGCTTGGTTGAACGCTTATCAAGTGAACTATTAATAGTTGAACGATAAAATGGAATAAAACACAGATTTGAAAGGTAAATAAATGTTTTATAATTTAATAAAATATTTAATATTTCAATTTTTTCTAATGTTTTGGCTTAATAAATAACTCTAACATTGCTCGAAATACGATATTTTTCTCAATTTGTTTCTTTGCCTAAATTTAGATTATACTGAAAATGGGAGTCGAATATTTAACTGGATTTATGACGAAAAAACCAAATCTTTACCAAAAAGAAAATGATCCTTGTCGAGAAATCACGGATTATCGCCGGTAGGTTGAATAAAGCATATTAAATTTCCAATATTGAATTTCGCTGAGAAATTACCGACTGTTGCCCATTACGCGCGCATTCCAAACAGATGTATGTAAAATACAAATCATTACTATTCATTCAATGACGATTATTATTCAGTACAAACTAACAAACATTGGACTTTACCATTGATATTTTTCTATAGGCAATGGCGTATAACTGATAACAATAACTGATCAAATTAGTATAAAATCATGTGCATTTTTTTTAAGGCTTCATTCGCAGTTTTCAGTCGAAACAATTTCGGTTGGAGAAAAGTGAGGTGTTGCAAAAGACAAAAGTGTTGAAAAAAGGATGACTTTCTGGAGAAAAAAAACTTTTGCAAGTTGGCATTGCGCTATTCTTTGGTTATGGAGCAAATGAAGTGATATCAAACCAAAAAGACGAAACTAGTATAGCGGCTATTGGACAAGAGGTGGCCTTAACCAATAGGATTTTAGCTGGACAGGAAAAAGATATTTTTTCTACTTCTTCAACAATTGCACAAAGGATACTTGAAAATAACCTCAAACAAGTGTTATATTCAACAAGAAATATCGGACAAGACGTTCCAAAACTGCAGCAGCAGCATGTTAAACATGTTGATGCACCTAAGAGATGTTCACAAACACAACGAATTTGATCTTTACTCATCGTATTTCAAAGAGGAAATGCTCAAAAAAGAGTTTCTCGAAACATTGGTGGTGTTTTCAAACGGTTTGGTGCTATCGATGCAAAATTTGATTGGAACAGAACACGATCTCTTCCCAAAATTTCTTGTTCTCGTTGATGATTGGATGGAAGTGCTAAAAATGGAATATCACCAAGAAATCGAGAAAAAATATATTTTCAAATTGGACGTGCCGTACATTCGTGGCGAAAACGTGAGGATGATTTTTGAACAGTTTTTTTCGCCGTTTGGATATCCAAATTAATCAATCAGACATAATGCAAGTGGAGAGAATATTTGAAGACAGAATATCAATTGAATTTAAAGAAGCGAAACTCAAAGAGAATCTCTTAAAATGCTTATCTTCAAACAATGAAAATTCGGTTTGATTTGATTGGTTCAATTTCAACAAACCCATTCCCATCGCGGTGAATAAATCCGATTTTTGATGAGAATTGAATCAGTTCTGGATTTTTCACACTTCTGGCGTTCACTGGTTTAATTTCGCATTCTAGTTTTTTATACTAAAAACGAATAATTTTTATATGTATTTTTGTGGTCGAAAAGGCTGTTAAATGATTTTTATCTTTACCAATAAACAAATTAAGAATAAAGAATGACGCTAAGAATGGTAACAATAAAAAATTAAAATTCAATATTTGAAATGATGCAAAATTGTTTTTGCTTGAACATTTTTTACATGTACCTATTCATTGTAGATTGTCGCTTTCACAAAACTTTCAACATGTGAGCAATTGTCGATATTCTGCTGGTATTAGTTGCGATTTGTCTATCTTCCTCCTTCTCTTTTCAATCATTTCTTTCCTTTGTGTGTCTCACACTTTTCTTCAGTTCATCTCCATTTCATTTGGTTTTCATTCTATTTTACAAATGGTCATATCGTCAAGAAACACATGGTGATAGAATACATATGGATGGAGTGAACAAACATTTTGCAGGTATAGAAAGTAAATGGATATGTGACGCATGTGTTTGTGTTTGATATTGTAGTTGTTGTACCTTCCAGAATGAACGTTTGAATGTATTTGTGTATACAAAGAAGTATCCGCATTTTTGCATTCTTTTGGCTTTAAATTCCGTACTGTTTCACTTTCCCTCTATGTATGTGTCGCCAAAAGGTAATGACAAGCATCAAATGAATACACAAACACACTCACATCTCCATTGAAAGTCGTTTGAAAACGTGTGCTCTTCTACCAAATTAATGTTGGACTGATTCATTACTTTTCGAACGTTTCTGTGAATAGCTTCGCCAAGTGTTTTTCTGCGTGCATATTAGTGCTCAAACATAGATAAATTTACTAAAAAAAATTTCAACAAATAAATTGAAAGCAAAGTGTTTCATTCAAATCACCCAAATCCATTTGATTCAAAGTGAGAAAATAAGTAAAGTGAAATGGCAATTATTTTGAAGAATAAAGCTACTGAGAAGCTCTATCTCAACGAAAAATTGGCGGATGTACATTTTGCATTCAATGTGGGCGATGAAATCCACAAGGTGCCAGCCAACAAAGCCAATCTGGCGGCATTAAGTCCGGTGTTTGATCGCATGTTCTACGGATCGTTGACAGAAGATGGAGACGTTAAAATAGTCGATGCATCCGTCGAGGCGTTCAAAGAGTTTTTGCAAATATTTTATTTGGGTGAAGTGACTATAACCATTGAGAATATTGAAACCGTTGCTCGTTTGGCTGATAAGTACGATGTCCTTGCTTATTTAAACGATTGTGCGACATTCACTCAAATCGAATTGACGATAGACAACGTGTGCTGGGGTCTTCAAATAGCATTGGTCCTGAAGAATCAAACATTGACCGAATATTTTGAGAACAAAATCAAAGGATTAACCAAAAAAGTATTCGCATCGGATGCATTTCGACGATGTGACAAAGAAACACTGGAACACATTTTGAAGCTGAATTTATCGTGTGAATCGATTGATGTGTTCAATGCGTGCATGGATTGGGCGAGATATGCATGCAAACTAGATGGTTTGGATGAAAAACAGGCGATAAATCTACGAAACCAGCTCGGCGACCATTTAAAGTTGATTCGTTACGACGAAATGTCAGTCGAAGAATTCTCTAAAATTTACATAGCAAATGAAGGACTGTTCACTTTGGAAGAGTTCGCAGACATAATGCTTACATTAACAATAGATAAATATGAACCGAGATTATTCAACCATATTCCTTGTCAATACGCACCGAGCAAATGGAACAAATGGAACAAATTCAAAGATTTAAAATGTAAGCGAATAGAACATAGTAAAGCACAACATAGCATTCAAAAAGAGGAAAGGCTATGCTTCACATCAAACCAACCGATTTTATTACGATCTATTGGTTTCCTTATAACCAGTGCCATATCAGATGCGACTGATTGTAGTGTAGAAGTTGTCATCAGGCGATCGGACACTGGAAAAATTTACGATAAAGAATTGACACTACATAGATTATATAAGAAATCAACCATTTTTCTAGATACACCAATTTTTATCAAACCCGGCAAAATGTACGAAATTCGCACAATTACTCCTTCAGACTCTATTACAAATTATTCGTGCGATAAATTGTGGTTGCCGAGAGTAGACCTCGATAATGGACTCAAAATTGAATTCCATGAAGATCACTATTGCGACTATGATAACTCAATTTATGGTTGGATTTCATGTTTGGGATTCCGTACACTTTAAAGTTTTTACTCTACCCAAACAATTAGATGACAAATAAATGTCCATAAATAACAGCCAATTGGAACTCATCTCCCTCTTTCATTGAATTGTAACAGAACTTTCGACTTAATTTTGACAAAATAAAACATGCGATTAAAAAAAAAAACTTGAAATTCTTTATTCTTCTCTTACATTTCGATGAAAATTATTTTATTACATTAAATTTGGCTTCCAATTGGATACTTTGTTAGCAGCTCTAATACAATATATTAGAGAGCGGTAATCTAGAAGCAATTGCCACTGATCTATTGAATGTACAGTAGGGTGTTTTCGACATCGTTCAATCGAAAAATGGTAAGTCTCATTCGATAGATCTCAGAATTCTGAGTCGATTGATAACATTTTTGTCGAGGATGGACTTGTGGTGACACTTCCCTTAACTAAAAACAAAAAATGTTTTATTCTGAATTTCTATAATAACGTGTGACAACTAGATTCAATTTTATGTTTTCTTGTCAAAATTTTTGCTTTCAAATTTCAAATCAAATCTGGTTGTCACAGGTTACTATGGAAATTCAGAATGAAATTGTTTTTGTTTTCAGCTTCGGGAAGTGTCATCACAAGTCCATCCACGACAAAAATATTATCAATCGACTCAGAATTCTGAGATCTATCGAATGAGGCATACCATTTTTTAATTAAACGATGCCGAAAACGTAAATGTACAGCCATCGGATAAGGTATCTCTCGTTTTTAGCATAAAATATATGCTAAAATCGGCTGATACTTTATCTGGTACATCGGACAATCATGATTGTACGTATTTTAGTTTGTGCTACCAAAAGTTTGAAGTTTCAGTGTAAATTCATTTAAACGCAATAATGAATACAAATCATACTCGATACGGTAATTTTCTGTTTGGCTTTACAGCAATCGCGTCGATTTGATGACCTTGTTTCAATCAACTACAATAATTTCAGAGAACAAAAGCATTTTCAAGGCTAGTTTAGGAAATATCAGACCATATCTTTTGTATGGACGAAGGTTTGTATGCAAAAACACAATTCTTATCGAGCAATAGAATATTGTTCTTTTCTTTTCGACGATAGGTCTGGGTTGCACTTCGATAAGAGAGTACAAAATAAGTTGTTTCTATCCTATAGCACTTGTTCTTTTTTGCTTTTTGGCAAATCGCTTTAACTTCAATCCTTTTTTGGATTCAACAATGGATTTGCACTGGACTTTACAAATGCGTTTACCTGAACTTTCTTATGTACTGTGTATCTTTTATCAACAATATTTGCCAATAGGTAAGGCCGTATACTTATAAATTAGATATACTAGGCTCGCCCGTGGTCAAAATTTGACCACACAAACAAAAAAATTACTATTAATATTTTATATAATTAATTATTAATAGTTTCGCCAATTTCTCTTTCCCTCCACACAAAACATTCGACTCTTTCAATCATGTATATCTGTGCACGCACACAAAGGAAAGTAAAAAATTCATCCATTCCTTTCATACATATGCTATAAAATGCCGTGCAATTCACAGGAATAGAAATGACTTTGTGTGAAACACTGACGTCACACAATAAATAGAAACGATAGCGATGTAGAAAATGCGAAATGAAAAAAATGTCGGAGATGGATGCTTCTCTTTGTGATTCATAGTGTTTACGAATGTGTCACAGTGTGTCACAGAGAACATTCGTGTGCAGCTCAAAACATTGTCTCTCTGTTTAGTCTGTATATCTCCGCACGCACACAAAGAGGAGCAAAAAACGTTATTCATTGCAGTGCACACAAATCGAACTCTTTCTCAATACTCTCTCTCATTCGACTGTCTCAACAGTTTATATGCTGTACATTTCAGCGACCGAACTGAAACATTGTATATATCACTGCTGTCAAGAGCAAATAAACAAAAAACGAAAACAAACAACGAAAGAATATTGCGAATTTCACGGCGAATATTTCAGAAAATAAATGGTGAAATTATTCAGTGAGTATGGAAACAAATTAAAATTTCCTTCAACAAATCGAAAAATATGAAGTCATTTTTTTCGTTGTTCGTATCACGTGTTTTATTCACTTGTTAGGCACGATGCAACGACCGATTGGAATTGTGTCAAAGAAATGCGGTGTTTCCACTCGATTCACCAGCTACGTATTTTCAATCACAGACATGGACAAATGGGAGAGTGATGAACGCAAACTGATCGATGAAATGGAAAAACGAATCATTTTTCTCAAATTCACGGTCCGTGTTGCACCACTGTTGACACAACAACAAAATGAATTGGAAGTGCTTGCGCTGACAGAGCAAATGAGGGTTCCTTGCCACGTTGCTGCTATCACAATTGCAGCAGAAAGAACTTACGTTACACGACTGTCAAGAAGAGAAATGGTGGAATTTCTACAATGCGTATTGGGTGATTTGGATCACATCATCGACTTTTGGCTCCCATAGTCGCTCATTAATGTTTCAAAATTGAACATCACAAAAAGTGAAATTATAATTCTTATTATTTCAATAAAAAAAATCATTCCATTTCCCAGACAAAACACATAAAGTATTTCCACTCAATTCCATAATTTTCTCATTCTTTTACACACTGTATCTCTATTTACGGCTCAATAAGAAGCATGTATTTGTTGTGGTTTTAAGTTTCGCTTTGTTCTATCTCCCTAGGGGAATTTCTCACGTAAAAACTGTGAAGATTTTCGAAGATGTTTGAAACTGTGAAGATGTGGAAGTTATCGAAACTATGTGGATTAGTTTTCTTTTCTACATCACAGCACAACCATACAACAGCAAAACGAACAGCCGAACAAATAAACATGTACAGGCATGTCTACTGTGTAATGCTGTTCTACTATGCTACCGCATTCATTCTATAAGCTAAATCAAATACCATTTGGACCCACGAATAATCGAATATATAACGACAGTGTGGCCGTATGGATAACGCATACGTTGAAATCAAAAGGTTTGAGTTCGGAACACAGCTTGGGGAGTGGCGGGTGTAAGTTATTTTTTTGCTTTTTTTCCATTTGTTTTATTAAATAATAACAAAATTTAATTTTTTTTCATAGAAAAACACCACAAACATTTTTTCTTCAACAAAATTACAAAAGAATCAATCATTTCAGCGTATACAACCGCAAAAACATAGATTCTATTGAATTTCATTTTCAAAATAAAAAAACACAATTAAACCATTTCAAATAATGAAAAAAAAATTTAACATGAAAATATACACAAAATAGCAATACTCATTCAGAATAAACATAAAAAAATTAAAAATAAAAGAAACAAAGTTTTTGACCACATAATAAATCGAACCCCAGACCCTCAGAACAACACGCAAAAGACTTTCCCACACGGCCGCACCGTTCATACATACAGTACAGCTCAAACAGCACTTGACTTGTGCTGTATGCGTAGAACGATCATTTCATTATTTTTTCACAAAATGAGCAACTTCCACTCAACCGATTTGAACGGCATAAGAACCATTCGAAAGATAATCACGCGTAGATGCGATTAAAGCCAAAAAACACTCACATACGACACATACAACCGGAGTTATGGCCGTTTGAGTGAATTCCCATTCCCATTTATGGGGAAAACTCATCATCACTCAAACGGCCATAACTCATGTCTCAAATGTCAAAAGTGAGTGTTTTATGGCTTTGTGCACATCTACGCTCGGAGACCTTTCGAATGGTACCTATGTCATCCAAATCGGTTGAGCATAAGTTGGTCAAAAGTGTACCACCAACTTTGCATTTGTAGATTAATATATAGATTTTTAAAACAAATTAAAATTTGTGTTTCACTCCGTCGATATTGTTTGCACTTCTTTATTTTCCAAGAAAAACGATCCTTTTTACTTGCATTCTCTTTTTCTCTAACTCACGATTCATTCTCTTGTCGAAAATATCAGTCAAAACCTGTTCAATAAAAAAAAACTAAATTTTGCTCTTCCCATGTTATTCACATAATTTTCTGATTTTTTACCATATTTTTTGCCTGTTATTCTGCAAAAGTGCGAATATTTCGGTGTTTTATTCTTTCGAAACGGAAAGTCGTTTTTTCTTCTTCCACTGTAGTGGTTTGTTGCAAAGAGATCGATGCATTCATGACACTTTCAAATGATTTTCAACGCTCTGCTGATATTAGCTGCAGATGTCTCTCCTTCCCTCTCTTTTACTCTTTTGCTTGTCTTTCAGTTTGTGTTTTCATTTCAAATGGTTTTCAGTGATTGTTGTCATATTATTGAGGGACAGATGTTGAATATGAGAGAATGTTCGTTGGTCGAAAAATAGTAGATAGATTTGTAACGCATACATATGTATTTAATTTTACATCTGCCAAATCAACGTTTGAATGTATGTGTGTATACAAATGTGTTTAAATTCCGTACTGTTTCATTCTCGCTCTATGTATGTGTCGCAAAAAGGTAATGAAAAGCATCAAATGAATACACGGTACACAAACACACTGAATTGAAAGTCGTTTGAAAATGTGTGTGCTCTTCTACCAAATTGATGTTGGACTGATTCATTACTTTTCGAACGTTTCTGTGAATAGCTTCTCCAAGTGTTTTTCTGCGTGCATATTAGTGCTCAAACATAGATAAATTTACTCAAAAAATTCAACAAATAAATTGAAAGCATAGTGTTTCATTCAAATCACCCAAATCCATTTGATTCAAAGTGAGAAAATAAGTAAAGTGAAATGGAAATTATTTTAAAGAATAAAGCTACTGAGAAGCTCTATCTCAACGAAAAATTGGCGGATGTACATTTCGCATTCAATGTGGGCGATGAAATCCACAAGGTGCCAGCCAACAAAGCCAATCTAGCAGCATTAAGTCCGGTTTTTGATCGCATGTTCTACGGATCGTTGACAGAAGATGGAGACGTTAAAATAGTCGATGCATCCGTCGAGGCGTTCAAAGAGTTTTTGCAAATATTTTATTTGGGTGAAGTGACGCTAACCATTGAGAATATTGAAACGGTTGCTCGTTTGGCTGATAAGTACGATGTCCTTGCGTATTTAAACGATTGTGCGACATTCACTCAAAACGAATTGACGATAGACAACATGTTCTGGGGACTTCAACTGGCATTGTTCCTGAAGAATCAAACATTGACCGACTATTGTGAGAGAAAAATCAATGAGTCACCCAAAGAAGTATTCGCATCGGATGCATTTCGACGATGTGACAAAGAAACACTGGAACACATTTTGAAGCTGAATTTATCTTGTGAATCGATTGATGTGTTCAATGCGTGCATGGATTGGGCGAGATATGCATGCAAACTAGATGGTTTGGATGAAAAACAGGCGATAAATCTACGAAACCAGCTCGGCGACCATTTAAAGTTGATTCGATACGATGAAATGTCACTCGAAGAATTCACTGGAATACACGTGGCAAATAAAGGACTATTCAATTCGGAAGAATTTGAAGATATAATGCTTACATTAACAATGGATAAATACAAATCGAAAATATTCAACCTGAATCCACGTCAGTACATATGGAGCAACGACAACGAATTGCAATGTACACGAGTATTGCAAAGCATGGTAGATCATAAAATTGGAGAAGTGGAAGTGCTATCCTTCACATCAAATCAACCCGTTCTGTTAGGAAATATCCAATGCTCATTAACTAAAGGTGGGTTATTTCTGCATGGTTCTTATGTAGAAGTTGACATCGCTCAAGTGGAAGATGAGACTTTTCGTATTTCAAAACTTCTTCACAACGGAGGATTTAGAGCAAACCAGGAAGATGATAACCAAATGGCTTTAGAAAAACCAATTTTCATCAAACCTCACACAATGTACGAAATTCGCACGACTTTAAGTGTTAGTCAAAATAGTTGGTGCGATAAATTATGGTTGCCAAGGGTAGAGCTTGATAAAGGGCTGAAAATCACTTTCCATCGAAATCCATATTTGAACTATAACAACTCCATTTATGGCTGGATTTCTTCATTGGAATTGAACAGGATTTGAACGAGACATTTTCTTGCCTAAACTGAAAATTGTTATTAAACTCAATTCTCTTTTCATTAAATTGTAACCGAACTTTGGCATTTCAATTAAACTCAATATTTCTGGAATTCTTTATTTTGTTTTCTTTGATAATTTTTTTAATTTACAGCAATGCTTCTGTGCGAAACAAGGAGTGAACAACTTTCACCCTAATTAAATAATTTTCAATTATTTTGATAATACAAACAAATTTTCGGCTAGGATAAGTAAGCTACAAGGAACAATCTCGACATATTTTGAAAAAATACATATTTAAATTTGTACTCGTATTTATATAGCTACAATTGACTCAAATCTAACCGCTCCTTTGCTACAGTTTGCTGATGATTTCATTGAATTTTTCCGCTGCAACTTTCTTCAACTGTTCGCTCTCTTGCGGACCGGTTGCATCAACCATCCCTCGGAAAATGCTCTCTTCATTCTGCAGCAATTTATGCGGAATATCGAATTCTTTGGCACTGCCCGCATCCATGACTAAAACACGGTCGGAATCAATGATGGTGTGCAATCGATGAGCCACCGTTAGAACGGTAAAATGTTTGAATTTCTCGCGAATTGTTCTCTGAATGAGTGCATCGGTTTGTGGATCCACATTGGCTGTGGCTTCATCGAGTACCAGCACTTTGTTATTTCTCAAAATGGCCCGAGCCAAGCATATCAATTGCCGTTGGCCTTGGCTGAAATTGGTTCCGCCTTCGGTAACCTGGATATAATTTTAAAAATCATAATTTTTTCAATGAGAAATGCATTAGCTCATTGAAAATGAAAAAAAAAACCTACCAAATAGTCCAAGCTATCAATCATTGATTCCAATTCAACGTCCTCTAGTGATCGCCAAATGGCATCATCGCTGTAATGGCCAAATGGATCCAAATTATAGCGAACTGTATTCGAAAACAAGACTGGATCCTGTGGAATGATCGAGATTTTCTCTCTTAAGCTGCTCAATGCAATCGTCCCTGTGTTGACGTCGTCGATTTCAATGATTCCATCGATTCGATACAAACGAAAGAGAGCTCCTATGAGAGTCGATTTTCCAGCACCAGTTCTACCTACATGCATCACACAAAATGTTATGCGCATATCCTTTTTAGATTCAATGCAATGCAAATCACTCACCCACAACTCCAATTTTGAATCCAGATTCAATCTCTAAGCGAAGGTTTTTCAACGTTGGCGCACCTTGTGGATCATATCGCAATGAAGCATTGTGCATTTTTATTTTACCTGTTCTTGGCCAATCCGATGGTGGTTTTTCATTCGGACTTTGTTCCTATGTGAAATATTGAAATTTCAAGGAAATTTTCAACAAAAGAAATGTTTAGCATTCAGAAATGCATCCTTACCGGTTCCAAGTCGATATACTGCAAAATTCGCTCGACACTTGTCATCTGCTGCATCGTTTCTGTCGTTTGACGTATTCCAATTTGAACCATGCCCATCAAAATCAACGCCTGCGAAATGGCCAATCCAACATTTCCACTGAATGTGTCTTTGTGTAGGAATAGAAATTGGAAGCAATTAGAATTGAGTCAAGTGATCACTCAAAATACTTCTCACTTTCATATAAAATAATAAAACTGAATATAACGCTTGCAAGGAATGCGGTGCTAACACAATCCATCCATAGGCCAAATGCGGTGTTTGATGTCTTTCCCAACTGCCAAACCGCACTATGAACATCTTGCAATTGATCAAATTCATTGGCCAATTTATTCTGTATATTTCTTGCTCGTATTGTCGTTAAACCATTTATGGTGGCCGTCAAATGCGAAAAAACCGGGCTACGACCTGATACATTCATTGAAAAAATTATTGAGAGAAATTCATTTAGAAACAATGCTATTATAGCACTTTAGGCATTGGAAACATTGAAAATATATTTAAAGCCATAGAATGAAAAACCTACAAATGCCTTCTAAACGCTTCAAATCTTGTGATGGTTGCAGGTACAACTTTATGATCAGAGCAAACAAAACCATGGCACATGATAATGCCAAAATCATGGATGGATTCACAATCGAGATAACTGTTAAAATGCCGAGCATCACCAATATTATTTGGACTGCTTCCAACATCACTCCGGGCATGACTTCATCGATAGCGCCCATATCTTTGGAGAAACGATTCAAAATCCGACCAGACGGATTTAAATCGAAGAATCGCATCGGCGCATGCAAAATGCTTTGAAACATTTGGTTGTGTAATATCTTTGATGCACGTGAAGTCATTCTGAAGAATATTATACTGCGATAAATGCAAGTCTATGAAAGAGCAACGAGGAGAAAACCGAGTTAGATCAATTTTTTGTTCAATCAAAACGGTTATGTGCATGTAACTTTAAAAAACTGTGTAAAAAAAGACAAAAAACTTGAATGAATGGAACGGAAATGAGGTATCTTACAAAAATAACTCCAATAATAAGCACTCCATAGATATATAAATACTTCATCTGTGTTAATGGCACTTGTTTACCATGCAAACGTTTATATTCTTGATATGTCCAGTAGTTGACAAAGTAATCGGTTCCACTCGTAACACACAACGAAAGAATCATAACGAAAAATATTGTGAAGAGACCACAGCAGTTGGTGCCAGCGAAAAAGTATTTCTTAATTGCTCTCACAGGTACACTGCCTTCCGCTTGTTCTTCCGCATCGATTTGATCTTGTTCGAACTCTTGTGATGCGCACGATGACTTTGACACGGATTCAGTGCGCTGTTTCAAAGCTCTGTACGATTCATTTGGTACGAAGTCATCAATGTATGGAATGTCATCGTCTTCATAAATGCTACCATCCTCAGATTGTGCGCAGTCGTTTGCCGTTTCTTCCGTTTTCTCTTCGTTCTCGAGTTTTTGTAGTAACTTTGCAAAATCCAAATCGCTGTTTGTCAACTCCGTGTAAGTTCCACTGTGCGTGATTTGTCCATTTTCAACAACGACAATGATGTCTACCTCTTTCAAAAAGTGCACTTGATGTGTTACTAGGATTCGCGTTGCATTTTGTGCAAAACCACTTGGGCCAATAACCTCGTCAAAGAGATGCTTTCCGACATGAGCGTCAACAGCACTGAGCGGATCATCCAATACATAAATTGAAGCAGCTTTGTACATTGCACGAGCTAAACTGATTCGTGCACGTTGTCCACCTGAATGCATGTTATATTTTTTTAATTAACTCATTGTTCCAACATTTTGAATGGAAAGTTAAACGCCCAACGGTAAACGAATGAAAAATGTCAGATTTTTTCATATTTTCATCGACTGACCTGATAAAGATGCACGTTCACCGACAAAAGTTTTGTCACCCTTTGGCAATTGTTCAAAATCAGTTGTTAATGCACAACATCTCACAACCTAAAACGAAATGTGGATGTATAACTAATCATGTAAATGTTCATTGGCTTATTCTTATTCTTCTTAGGCTAATTTTGTATGTGAAAATTACCTCAGTGTAACGTTTTTTATCGTATTTCTGTCCAAAGAGAATATTGTTTCGAACTGTGCCAGAGAAAATCCAAGGCTTCTGAGCCGCATATGATATCGAGCCATTCAATGAAACATTTCCCGATGAAATTGGCAGTTCTCCCAATAGCAATTGTACCAAGGAGCTCTGAAAAAAAAAATGAAGCAAACGGCAGAGAATAAGTGTTTGATGGAGAAATTTGATATTCATTCAAGATTCAATATGGTAAAATAAATCAACCTTTCCAGCTCCGACTGGCCCGATGAGCCCACAAATTTGTCCACTTCGAATCTTTAGGTTAATTTTTTGCAACGTTTTTTTACTTGCACTCTCCTCCCATGATGCGCTCACATTATTTATTTCCACAGCATTGTCTATTAGAATTTTCATACGATTCGTTTTAGTGCGATGAATTATGTTATTATTTCAATAACAAGCATAAATTTACCTTTGTGATCAGCTATAACTAACGAGCTACGACGCTCAAGCCCATGTTCAGTTTCATTCTTTTCTTCCTTCAGCAGAAATTCTTCAATACGTTTCAACGAAACGAATGCTTCTGCCGCTGCAGAGAGAGCCCACGGATAGAAAATAGCAGCATTCATCTGAAATGATTTATCAGGTTTGGTAAGTGACAAAATTGATGGGGAATAATTAACGGCATGCACACACTTGCAAAATATTGAAGTATTGCGCCATTGAAAAGACAATGTCAGCGGTGATATTTTGTCCCGTTAGAATACAGGTGGCGATTGCAATGAAAAGGGTCGATCCTATCAGAACATAAGAAAAAAAAATAAAACTAATTTTTCTAGTGAAGGAAGTACGTATCCGTGAAAAGGTGAGCCAATTGAACAGTATATGGAATTCACGGATAGCTAGTATGCTATACTATCGATCCCATGGCGATTTCAATTCAATGCATGTGCTTGACCACTAAACTTACTTTCAATAAAAACAAACGAGCTCAAGCTTACACCGCGAATATATGCAGCATAGCGGATTTGTTTGATCTCAAGGCGACGAGCCTCGGCAACGACTTTTTGGAATGGTTTTTCCCATGCATATATCTTAATCACTTGAATACCGTTAATGATTTCGTTCATTAGTCCAACGCGATAATCTTTGGAAAAAAAATCGTATGCATTTTCAGTCATGATCAACGAAAACTTTGAGTTTGAGAATTTAATACCTGTACGACGTGCAACTTTCATTCGTAGCATTGAAGTGTAATGGCTTAGACGTGTTTGCACCGGCACTGTTTTTAGTAATAATCCAATCACCCCAACTACGGCTGCCCATTTTGCTCTTTGCCATATCAAGTATCCGATTAGAATTGACTGTAAGAAAACCAAAATAGGACTAGTATTCATAGTAGTTGATTTGTTGACAGAATCTTCCGAATAATCATCTTAACCACCAACCTGTATCGGCAGAATCCAAATGAAATGAACCAACACAAATCCTTTGTCCAAGCGACTGACATCATTCGACATCAAATTCACCAAATAACCACTTCCAGTTTGACTTGCTGACAGGGCCGACAGACGCAAACTCTATTGGAATTCGTTTGAAAGAAAATGAATACACATTCAATAGTTATCAATGGAATCGCATACTCCGAATTGAACC